GTAAAGTGGCGCGTGCCCACAGTAGCTTGAACTGTTAGCTTAATTGCTTGCAAGTAAGAAGTGCCAATCCGGGCATCTCGAAAGTGCACGCGGCGAGTTGAAGCAGTACTTCTTCCGCAGTGGGAAAACTACGGATGCGATGTATCCTGCGGATGCCAGCTGCCAAACAACCCTTTAACCTACACCTTCAGCTGATGGCACTGGAGGATTGGATGCGCGTCGATCGGCGCACCTTTCAGCCGCATCGATGCATTGAGAGCTTCATTGAACAGCTTATTTCGGTTCTGATGTAGCATCGAAGGAGAAGCTTGGTTTAAGGGCCAAATCTTTGCAGCCTACGGCCATTTTGCAACTTTCCGGGGACAGCTTTGACATTCAATCCACACGGTTCAACCTGAGGCTTGCGCCGTAAGTGCAATGAGGACCTAGCCGCTGTGTGGGATGACGTGTTTCATGCGTCGAGGTCTTTTGTAGACCGCGTCATGGTGCCTGTGTGATGCTATGGCATACATTCTATTATATTTGCTTGGACAGGCTTGCTGAAAACAGGCCCCTGCATTGTGCTTGGTTTCCTGGTGCACTCCCTCGACCCGACCGCTATCATCACACTTTGGCATTTTCATGTTCATTCGATTGGCGCATCAAAGAGAATGCTGGGGTCCGCGAAGCTGAACAGCACTTCTGAATCGCACAATCACAGACGTAGACACAATTGTTTTCTCTGTATTGAGTTCCTCCAGAGGGGGAGCTAGAGATCTAAATTCCTTGACTTCGTTTGACTTTGAACTTGACCCCCTGACTAGACCCTGGTCAAAACCCTTCAAAACAATTGCATAAGCCCCAAACCCAGAATTCAGGCCGGCCTATGAGTTCAAACAGCTGGATGGAACCTCTAGCGTAAACCTTGAGCCCTGCATGCCGGCCGAAGCTAATTGGGGAGAAAGGAAACCTGAAGCCTGCAACTTACACGTTCTGAAGCCTGAGCCCCTGATCCGAAACCCCCATCCCTGAGCCGCAAGCCACAAACTCCAGATGTCGAAGGCCAGGTCTTCAAACTCCAAAGCGCCAAACTCATGTCTACTGTCTGGAGCTCTGAGCCCATATCTTGATCACAAAGGGCCCTTTTCACCGTGCCCCAGAACCCCTAGCTTCGAAGCTTCAGAGGGAAAAGTGTAAGCAAACGTGAGAAGTTTTGACCGCCCATGTCATTTGGACAACATCTCTTGAACAGGTTCCTTTCGCTCGTGCATTGCTAGCGGCCATGGCAGCAACGATACTCCAGGAGTGTGGAGCTCAGCCCGAGCTTGGAGCTCAAGAGAGTGTATGGAGAAGGGATATGCCGCACCTACCTCGAGTAGCCAGAATGCATCCGCCTCTTATTCTGTCTACCTGGTGCTCAGTGGGGAATCTTGTAATGGATCCGTATAGTAGTCCCTACGCAATCCTCCATCACACTCCGCAAATCCCATGATCCCATTCGACTTAGCATGGTTAGGGCACCCAAAAAACAACACATGTTCAGACGTATATGCGGTTAAGGGTTTAGGCTTAGCATTTGGGGTCGAAGGTTTAGGGACCCAAGGTAGCCAACATCGAGATTCCAGATTGTTTTGTGATTGAAATATCTGTCGAAGCAGGAGTCCTATATTCTTGAACATGTTTTCGGGGGCCTTAACCCGACCCAGAATCTGCATTTGATCAGAATTATGGTCTCTTGTGACTCTGGTATATAAATTGTCGACCCAAACTTTTCGGCTTTGAACCCGAAACCTATAGAGCCTACTTGCATGTTCGGGGGTCGTGCTTAGTGGGGCTGTAGCAGAACAAGCATACTTAGACCTAGTTGTAGCTTAACTTGCGGCACTGATAGCCCTGGCCTAGGACCACCCCTCAGCTAACATGTGACTTCCTCTAGTCTCCATTCCCAAAGGCTCTAAACCTTTGTAAGTGTGTTTGCTGACTTCCATATTTGTTTAAAGCAGGCTACTCAAGCCGTGAGCCGAGGTCTATGGCTGCTATGCGCCCAGGCTCATGGAGGGCTTACTGCTAAGCACCAGCCGCCTGCGAGCCCGCTTCTTGGCTGTTAGTTGGATGCTGAAATATTTTGAGGATTTGTGGCTTCAAGGTTGTTTTAGGATGGAAGATTTGGGATGCCAAGGCTACCGGCACAGGGCTTCAAGGTCCAAGCAATGTTGCGAAGGTTTCGAAGTTGAATTGTTTGAGGTTTTTCAGATTCGTAGGGATTTAGAATCTATGCTTGAGATGGGTGCGAGTCTGAAATTATTGCGTTTATTCGGGTATGTTAGTCTTCTGCTCCTTTTTTTCAGAATGGGGTCCGGAGATTGTTTTTGTTTCATTTGGCGGTCGAGATGACTTTGTGGCTTCATGTGTATGGCTTTAGGTCAGGGCCGTGCAGCTCCTTAATCAATAGCATGCCATACCGCTCGTAAGTCGTAAGCTTCTCCGCACGTTCCGTCATGGAAGCTATTGCCATGTGGGAGTTGTTTACAACTCGCTCCATATAATCCTGAGCAGACCTCACGGCAATCCCAAAAAAAGAGCCCTTGTTCATCTTTCTGAAGGTTTCTTAGAAAGGGCGGGCGCCCTCAGACCCCATAAACATATGTGGGGATTATGGAGGGGGTCTGCGGGCTCTGAACGCCGGGCATCCTACGAATTCTGAGCCGTTTCCTTCAACATGGGGGAAGGCCCTTGAACAGGTGTTCCTTGTCAAGGCTTTTCTTTTTCCTAGCCCGTCCGAAACCCAAGCCGAAAATACGATGGCGTGAACCTTATGGGTCTCAGACGCGCAGCTGAAAGCGTGGCTGCTGCCAAGAGATGCCAATGTAGAGGGTTTTGAAGTTCTGTTTTTTTTTTTCGTTCGGAGGATCGGATGGTTACCGATAAACCGATAGACGTCTCCTATTGTTTGCGCATCCAATGCAGATTTTACCATGCAAGCAAACCTCGGAGTCGAAACCAAATAACACTCGCCTTGGTGCTTCGAGCTACCAGCTGGCCCTGCCAAGAACAAAATGTAAGAGCAAAGGCTCAAAGGAGGCACTGCGCTGATCCTGAAACCTGAGCCCCCTAAAGTGTGAACATCGCAGCACCAACTCTGAAAATCAAACCCTCACCCCCGATGGTGACCCGCCAATCTCTTAAGCCTCAATTGTAAGCCTCTTGCTATGCAAGGCTCCAAGGAAGCGGTGGTGATGACGGCGCAGCTGCTGGGTGCTCAGTGCACAGATGCGCCTTGCCCAAGACTTGAATAATTTTCTGTGCATTACGAGAAGGCGGGGCGGGTTGTCATTGAATTGCACAGTCGAAGGGTTTGGGGGGCTGGTGCTTGATGGCTGTTGGTTTGTGTGCTCAGGGGTACCATAGACTTTTCCTCAGTGTAGGGATTGATGAGGATGTGGGAGTTTACGCTTTCTTGGGTGTCGAGTTTGTGCCGAGCGTACACCTAGGCCCTTAACGTAGCTGTCTTCTTAACATATGCATGAGGCTGCTTGCTGGCGACCGTTGACTGCTTTCAGCAAAGCTTGAGAGACCCAAGGGCTCCCCAGACCCGGAACCCATGTCCAAGCCATCCTAGGAAGCAAGGCCCATCTGGTGCGCACGGAGCAACATTGAGACTGTAAAGGCTGACGTTAAAGTCCCAGGTAATGCGAAGAGGGATCGAAATGGCAGGCATGTAGCTGCGACAAGGCCATGGGTCATGTCACACATATTCTTACAAGTAATGGCGTTAGTCCTTTCCCTTGTTTAATTCCCATTCGCATGCCTCATGTACGGTGACTATTGTGATGATGTTTTTAATGCCGCACCAACATATTTGTTTCCGCTGTCAAGCTCATTTTGACCGTGCCCAACACTGTTCCTGATGACGGGCCCCAACAATCTCATCCTTGCGTGTAATGAGTCATTACAGAAAAGAGACTAGTCATGGCGTCAATTGAGGATTGTCAATCATTATTATGATATGCCCAGACTCTGCTCAGGAGCTCACAAAGGCACACACGCATCTCATTGCGGGCGCCAGCCAGGGCGAAAAGTGACTCTGCTTCGCATTCCGTGGTTAGAACCCCAATTTCCTACAGGGGTTTTCAGACCAGAATGCAGCTATGACGAAGCTGAAGATTGCTGCGTTTCGCGGCATAGAGCTTTGGTTTCAGGGGCCGCTTAGGGCTATATGATTTACAATGAATTTTTCTTGGCCTTCGAGGTGAGGGGTTTTTGTTGGCCTTGACAGTCCACTGGCACAAGTTGAGTTGTGGTCTTACAGAGTTCCTCGGATGCTTGGATGCCACTTCACGAAGGTCTGGTCCACGTTCAGGTTTTGGCCCCCTTCATGGCAGTTCTGGCTATAAGGATCACAGCATATCGGGGTTTACACTGTATACTGCTGCCCCCTAAGATGGAGATCTCCATTCAGGGAAAGGTGATCTTCTTTTCAACAGGTGTCAGACTTTCAGCAACATCTGCACTTTTTTTTTTGGGTAGGCATCAGGAATTCGAAGTTCTTGCACGCAGGAATCCTGCAACTTGGCCTGTGCATCGGAAAGATTTGCACTGCATTGGAACTTGCGCAGCGGTCGCACCCTCAACCACCTGCCGCCTTAATGCCAATGATCTTCAACTGGCGCCGTGCTAAGACCCTTGTTTGAAAGTTATACAGAGCCGAAACGTGCAATAGGCAGAGTATTTGGTTTTCTATGATCGCGAAGCATCAGCAAACACACGGCAAAAGGTATCTCGATAGAGTAGCATGAGCGGAGCAGACTAGCATCTGTCAGACATAGCTTTTGTAGATTTGTCTCGGGCACCCAAAAGACTGCGAAAGGTGCCACGAGAGGATGCTTTCCGGCACAGAAAATATGGTTGACAAGCCGTGCACGGAGTCTCTCATTCGTCTTTTGATGTGCCCAAACCCTCTTTTACAGGTAAGTTTTAGAAGGCTTTTTGAATCTTGCCTTCTAGGATGTTGCCACAAGATCTTGCTAAAGCCGCGACCCCTGCAAGAGGCCAGACATCAGGATAACCTTTGTAACACAGCAATGCTGCAAAGACTTAGATCAAAGCCGCTTGTGAGGTACGAGTTCGCAAAGCTGCATCGAATTCCCGTCGTTTCCGTAGCCTGGCTGGACAACACGTGCCCCAGCTTCGATGAGCAGAATGTTTGAAGATGAAGTTGCTACGGGAGCTCGTAGTTTGAAGAATGTTTTTGTCCACAGTCGTGGGTCTCCAAGCGGGTAATGGGAAAAGCGTTTAGAGCAATGCTTGGAGAACGCACCTCGCTTTTTGAGGCTCAGCGTCTTGCAGTCATGGAGACGAAGCAGACACACACATCCAAGCATGAGCCTCCTCAAATGTGTGGCAGTGCCTCTGTGAGGGCAACAAGTTCGCCTCACAAGCCTTGACGCAACATAGTTCAATTTAAGATAGAGATGCTTCTCCTCTTCCGTTTGTTTATATATATATATTATGTAACTTGCATGGTTCAGCCCAGCCACCTGGAAAAGACTACACAATAGTATTCACAACACGTGGTGTTTGGAGCCTTCCTCATTCTAATCATGTGTGTTTCTCTTTTTTATTTCTTCGGCTGTATTTCTGCTTATCTCGCTTTATATCTTGGCAGTTTTATCAGTAAGTGCTTGGCAGTTGTTATCATCAAGTTGCAGTAACAGCCACAGTAGAAGGAAGAGGCTCCTTTCCCTAAGTTCCCACGATTGTTGATGAAGCCGCCTTATGCTGAGTTTCTTGAATGAGGCTCCGGCTGGGCATGCCAATGAAGGACCGCACCCAACCCTGAACCCTTCAAAGCCTAAAGCCTCAACACTACATGAGTCTTTCACGCATGGCTTACTGGCTTAGTCTTTAGGGATTTAACACCGACTTGAAGGTTCCAGGTATTTGCAACCTAGCTGTAAACTGATAACGTATTGTTTGCCCATTGGGTCCCTTGATGTGGTTATAGTTGGATTACAGGAGCAGCGGTGAGTGGAATCGAGTTCGAGTTCTAACGACGTGAGATTGGCGTCTCCCAATTTTTGCTTGCGAATTACGACTGATTTCGGGGGGCATTGGGGGGTTCCAAAATGAACGGCCATTAATGATCACTATAGGACGTTCGACACGTACTGGCAAAATCCTGGGCCGTTGCCCGTTGCCGTAGCTTGTGAAGCCAGACTTTTACGGTCCTGCAACAAGGCTTGTGTGGGCCGAGGTTTGGTTGGATGTGCAGACTGATGTGCACATATGTCAGGGCAAGGTGCGATGCGCTGCTCCAGCTTGAAATTCTAGCGCGAATTCTGAAACCGTCCGACAACAGGTGAATTATCAGTCCAGCCCGAGAGTCCCGAACCGAACACCTCATGGTGAGACCCTTGCATCAGCTGTGAACCTTCTAGATTCCGCTAGATCCTTCGCCTTTTGGATGAGGGGTGTAGGGTTGAATGTTGCGTTTGAGTTTTTAGGGTTTGTGGGTCATAGAGTCGACGGAGTTTACCTGTTCAGAGGCTCAAGGCTTGTGCCCCAAAACCCTTTCGGGGCTTCCCGGTGCGCTGTTACTGGGAAATAGAGGAATCAATAGCTATAGTGGCCCCTCTACAACCTGCGAGAACATTATAAAATAGCGCGCAGTCGCCATTTTTTTTTCCTCCATCCCCTGCTAACGACCAGCTAGTGAAGAGGAGCGCTGCTTTCCCGTGAGTGGCGGCGTGGACTGGTGAAAGCCGAGCCCAGCGAAGAGCCGAAAAAAGAGCCTTATTACAGGGGTTATAATAGAGGGTATACAGGTTTGAGCTTCGAAGCGGCTATGTAGGGATTGTAGAGGGCATATAGACTTCAGGATGGCAATACTTGAGGGTCAGATGGGAAAGTGAAGTGGAAACTCAGATGGGGTTTGCTTCGCAGAGCCTGACAAATCCAAACGCAGGTTGGATACTAAGTTCTGGATGGGCTTTATGGCTTTCTTGAGCTGAAAGAGAGTTAAGCCTAGGGCCTATAGACTTTAAAGCTTTGAGCTTTGAGGGATTGTTCGTTTTGCTCCTAGGGTTTGGGCAGGTCGAGCCGCCAGGCTTCAGAAGATACATCCCCAAGCTGATTAGGAGCTCTGCCATAAAGTGAGGGCGTCATTTTGCGAATCCGGTCCGGATCCCGGCCTTTGCTTCACCTGGCAAAGTGCCTTTACAGGACTCAATAGCTGAATAGGTACCCTTCACCATTGTGGGGGTTCCTCAAATTTGTGTAATGTTTGACTCTAGACTCGCCTGTTTGGGCCTAGGGAATTCAGCAACTGTGAAGAAGTGTGCATAAACTGCATTCTTCTGGCAGTGTCTCCTCCTTAATCGCCTCGTGGAGATCAGAATTGGTGTTCCTCAGAGGGCCTGGGTCACACTGAGAATCCAAAATACTAGCTGAGGGTCTTTAGGATTTCCGCAGGCGGTCTTCAATTTCAAGGCACTCTTCTGATTTGTGACAAGGTTGTCTCCAAGTCTTTCGGAGCTGCTACCGTCTACGCCTTCCTTCGTAGAGAAGGCCTGGATTTTCAAAACAGGGAAGCTGGGGCTTGCTTAAAGATTCACGGTTTTTTCTGAGTTGGGCTGAAAATCCTAGTTATCTGTGGGACTTATAACCCCTTCAAACTGTACCCATGGACCCTCAAGAAGGAAGCTTCCTTCTTGCGTGGCTTAGAGGGTAAAAGGGCTTGGGGTTGTGGGCTTGAGGGCGCCACCCGTCGCTTCACTTGTAAGAAATGATGTTATGAAGGGCTTCGGGCTTAGGCGTAGGTTTCAAGACAGCCAGAACCTTGGTCCTTGAATCATGCCCCCAGGACACCTTGCTGCATGACCATCCATTGCTGACTACCCAGAAGGGTGGTGCAAACCTTGCTCTTGCAAACCAACATTCTAAATGACGGTGAGCTGAGGCTTCTGAATACAAAAGCAGGACCTTCATGAAAAGTTTCCACACAAGTCCCCCTTTTGTAAGTGACGGCGCAATCGCTATTTCAAGTCTGTTTCTGAAGGTGCTACACTGAGGTTAGGGTTCAGGGCTCAAGCGAATGGGGCTGAATCTTGAGTTCTAGATCCAGACTCTGCACCCTAAACTCCAAGCCAGACAACCTAAAAGTTTATCCCTAGACCTTGGGTCATTTGTTGAACCGTATGTGCAAGCTTCATGATCAGTAATCATATTTCAGCCCAAGCAGAAATCTGAACCTATAACATGTCCGCGTTGTCCCAACAAGAACCAAAGCCTGATTGAAAACCCCAAACTAATTTTGTTAGAAGTCAGGTCAAATGGCCTGGAATACGCGTGGCACACTGGGAACAGGCTGGGATTCTTGAGGGCTTTGTAGTGCAAAGGTTCACCAGCAATTCCCTACTCACAGTGGGGTGGGCGCCCGAGGCTTTTATGTTGGATATGTGAGGATTTTAGGTGGTGTTGTAGACATGATTGAGACGTGTGTAGGAATGGTGAGGCCTAAGACGTTGCATCTACGTGTGTTGCAGAGACTCCAGAAAGGGATCCATGAATTTGGCGAAATCCGAAGAACAATTTTGCAAAGTCGAGTACCTCAGGGATTGCATATTCATAACAGGAGTCTTTGATACATGACGAGTGTAGTGTCAGCAAAGTCCCTAGACAAATATAGCAGAAGTACCCCAACAACTTTTTTCTCGAGGCCCGAATTTGCACCCCGAAAAACATACGCAGCTTAGGGTTTGAAAGGGTGTGCCTATTTGACCAACTCTGACCGCATAGTCCCCACAAGCCAATGAGTTTGAAGCCTGGCACCGGTCACATTGACCCTCTCAGCGCTGCATGTAGATTTGGAGGTATGTGGCTGGCTTTCAAGAAGTTGAGGGAGCGTTGTCTCTCAAGCTGCGATGAAAATATCGCGATGCTTTACTCTGCCTAGCTAGCGACTACAACGCAAGCCAAAAGACAGCGCCTAGACAGGGGAACGGTGTCCTTGGAAGGTGGGAGGAAATTTTGAAGATAACAATCCTCCTTGTGTCTCAGACCTGTGCAGTGACGGAGAGTCCGCCACGGTGCTTGGGAGATCTTAATCTGGAAGTGCAAGTTGCGCTGGACTTAACTGGCTCGTCAGGTCGGAGCCGCGAAGGATTTTTTGATATGATAATTCGGGGTCATGCCCAAAACCCATATGACCGCAAAAGAGTACCGAAACCCCAAACCCTCAAAACTTTGTCAAACAAACCCCAATGCCTAAACCCTGAGCCCGCTCCGTCAGCCGGCTTAACCCGGAAGACCCACAAGCCAAAGCTCCTCAAACCCAGCCTCAAACAGGATCCCACAGGCGCGAAGGACCTTTGCTTGAGCAACGAGCCGCTTGGACATGTCCTGTAATTCCCCCCGAATTTAATCATGAACATCCCCACCCCCTAACAGTAAATATTCCCAACGTATTGCCTTGATGTGGTTGCTTACACATACATACATACATACATACATACATACATACAAAACTATATGTGTATATGTGTGTGTGTGTCTGTAGATACTTGGAATATTTGTGATTAGGGGTGGGGCGTAACATTATGGGATTCGACTACCGTCTCTGAATTTGCTAAAGATCGTGTTTGTTTGTTGCTCTTTTAGTGGGAGCATCTGGGTGGGCTTGATCTGCACGAGCCTGCGCAAGTATCCAAAAAGCGCATGCCATATCCAGCTATACCTCCTGCATAATGGTGTGTAAAGACTGTAGTTTGTGAGACTTTCCAGTACTCCATCTTGTTCCATGGAGCTGTTTCAGAAGAGTGCGTTTGTGCGTTGCCGTCTCTTTGGAGGGTCCCTTTCCTGCAGCAGGTCAGCGCGGCATGTTTTGGCTGCTCCAAATCTAGAGGAGCCGATGTCTAATCCCAGGAAAGTTCGGAAGAGCGTGCCCAGATAACACTCAGAATCAATGCAGGGATGCAGAACCATCTCTGGACCAGAAAACTGCTTTGTGGGGTTCTGACAGAGAATGGTGTGTTCCGAGAAATACCTAGAATGCTTCTGAGGCTGAAGTTGCTTGCCGGGACAAGGGCCAAAGCCTTTGCTGAAGAAATGCCTCTTGTCGGCCTATGGAGACCTGCATACTAGAAGTACGATGATAACTCCAGATTCTGCAGTTCCAAAGTCCAAGTGAGATCATAACGGTCGACGATGGTGTCCTGACAGTTTCAGATTTCACGGAGTTTCTTGCGCTTGGGGCAAGTAAAGCTTGAAGATGTACCTGCCTCCTCACTGTACGCCTTCACCCACAGATAGTGCAGATGCATGTTGGTTGCCAGCAGAGTGGATTCCTGCGGACGCAGGCCCGGTTGTGAGGGCTTGGTGTATGGTGAGTCTAGATGCTCAGCCTAATAAGGGACATGCCCAAGCCACTCCAAACGCCAAACTTGCAGACATTCATATGTTTGGAACAACTTCTCCAAACCGCACTGCAAACATGAAAGCGCCCAGGTCCACGCACGCAGCTTGTCTGCAGTGCTACAGTACTCGTACCTTGGGGTTCAGATTGGGCCGTAGCCCCTCAACAGACTCACCGGATTTAACACGGCGAAGTTCGATTCCAGGCTTAGATGCTTTAGGTTTCGGCCTAGTCTTGTGCGCGTGCGGCAATTGGTCCGGCCGAAGGCCTTGTACCTGTACAACTTTGTTTGAAAAAACCTCCACAGACGGCACAGGTGCCATACCTGCCAGAGTAGTGGTTTGGGTGGATACTACAGTCCCCATTTTTCAAGAGTCAAGAACATTTTTTGCTTCTGGTTACAGAATTTTTCTTTCACAATGCAATCTTATTTGATTCGACGAAGACAGTCATGACTCGCTTGGGGGGAGGTCCTTCCACTGCATACATGCACAACCTTCAGAGATTGCAGCCTTTTCACCCCGAAACCCTGAATGCCTGAAGGACTGGATCTTGCTGGATCAGAAGATTGCAAGCTCGTCTCGTTCCACGGCCACCTCATGAGGGGCGTCCGTGTTAGCTTCATGAACTATAGAACATGAGCAGCCAGTCTGTACTACTACCTGGCCTAACGTAGCCGACGTAGCCCTTCGGCCCTCAGAGAGTATGAATGAAGTTCAGCCTCATGCCGGTGGAGATCTGCCTGAACCAAAGCTGGACAGGCTCTCCAGGAGGTATGTCCTGCGAACAGGGGACCGTTGAAATTTAAATCTCTACTCAGAGATATACTTATATAACCCGTTGAAAAGCTCCGAATTCGCCTGGTAATGATAATGTTTACATCCCTAGCAAAGATTAGGTGCTGATTGCACGGATCTCCAGGTAGGACTCCTTGGGAGGTCCTTAGTAGTGAGGACGGCTAATTTTCTTGTAAACGGGGCTGGCAGCGTGGCTCCGCGCAAAAAAGTTTGAGTGTGCTGGCCGCTGGTAGCTTTTTAGGGCTTAAGGTTGGAAAGTTCTTCCGTATGTTCAGCACGTGGTAGCTTTCTCACGGAGGTTGGCGGTTCGCAACATGAGGTGAGTCCTTCAAAGCGTCAGGAATCTCACAGGCGCATGCATTGGCTGCAGACGCGTGGAAGCTGTAAACTTGCAAACCTCTGTGGTCTGAATGGTGTTAAGGAGGGAGGGCTTTGCTCATGATGGTACTTGCTTGTGGTGAATAAGCCTTGGAGCAGGCTCACGCCCATGGAGCTGCGAAACCGAAACCTTGGGCCTTAGATCAACTCTTGGCGTAGTGCACGTGACGCT